TATGGGGTGAGTAGTGGAGACAGAAAGTGACATGGGATGACTAGAGACGGGAAGTGATGTGGGGTGACTGAGACAGGAAGTGACAAAGGATGACTAGAGGAGGCAGGAAGTGATATGGGGTGACTGTTGGGAGGATTCAGTTTACATGTATACAGGGTGTAAACTTTATATTTAGACCTTTTTTTTTTTTTTTTCAAACGTTTCATATTTTATCTTTTCTTTCCCCTGGGCCAGACTGAAAGTTTCATTACATTTTGTTTCATAACAAAAAAACCTTTTATTTCATTTCCATTAAACTGAAGCGAATCAGAGCTCAGGTCTTTGCAAACTTGAATCTGAAAGAAACAGATCTAAAATAAAATGATGCACAAATTTTAAGATGTTCATTTAATACTGAAATCATCTTTACTGCACGATGTCGAGCAAGGGTTTTATTTTCATAAATTAATAAAGCTTCAGGTTCAAAATCATTTTTACAACAGAAACTTTTATTTACAAAATTTAAAAAAAAGGTCCAAGTGTTCAGAGGAAACTGCAGCATCTAAACCTGACTCAGTTTAATTTATCATTTTGAATAACTCCCTCTGTGTTATAAACGTCTTATCAAACGTGAGGAGTGAACGTGAAGACATGACCGCAGCTTTGTGGGCCTCCAGATTTAAACCACCTGATGTTCAGAACTGGACCTCAACAGAACCAACATCTGAACCAAAACCCAAACTCTCTTGCAAGGAACAAACATGTAGCCACTGTAAATAACATCTGGCGTAAAAATACAGTAAATTTCAGGAAAAACATGAATAAAAACAGAAAATCAACTCATTTTAAACAAATACTGTAATTTAATTTTCAGAAACAGAATAATGAGTAAATATTAAAAAATATTTACTGTGTTCAAATATAAAAATAAACTTTCTACTAAGACTACTTATTGAAAGATATTTTGTTGTAAACTGAGAAATTCTACTTTTACTTTTATTAATTTATAAATGCACCAACATGCAAACCAGAAAAATCATCAGGTATTTGTTGATTTTTAGGTTTTAAAAAGTGTGATTACAGTTTCTTTGCATCACGACTCACAAAACAACAAGTTCAACACAAAACATTGAAAAAAGACAAAAGTTTGTCCTGAAATTCAGCAGTTTAAGTATAAACTGATTAAAAACATCTTTATGTTGAACAAACTGAGAAGGCAGTAAATATACAAGTTTTTACATAATTTATTTTACTAAACAAGTGTCAGAACTATAAATGTAAAGTGTTCTGTTTAGAGACATTCTGCAAACCGTCAGAGTGGGATGTTTTAGCTTCAGTACAAAATACTCATTTCCACACAAACAGAACCGCTCTTTCAAAATAAAGCTCCTCAGTCAGAAATATTCACAAACATCTAAAGATGAATATAACTCAAGACCCAGATTATTGCTGAGGAGCTGCAGCATCATGACTGCTAGTCAGAACCTGAAGATGGACCTTAAGTGTGGTGGAGGTCCATTTTAAACAGAAAATCTGACGCGATCGTTTGGACCCAGACCGTAACCAAGAATCAAATAAAAACCTGCAGAAGACGAGAAACAGATAATTCATCAAAACACGTCTAAGCCGAGAAAAGACACCCGCTCAGGGGAAACAAAAACCCTCTGAATGTATGGTCTGCCAGAAAAGTCACCCCAAAGGTCAGACCGCGTAACACAGAAAAATGAGCTCCATCTCCACAGCCCTCAGTTAGCAGGTCAGGGGTCAAAGGTCAGTCTCAGACTCTACAACCCTCAGTTAGCAGGTCACGGGTCAAAGGTCAGTCTCGGACTCTACAGCCCTAAGTTAGCAGGTCAAAGGTCAGTCTAAGACTCTACAGCCCTCAGCAGGTCAGAGGTCAAAGGTCAGTCTCAGACAATACAGCTCTGTTAGCATGTCAGAGGTCAAAGGTCAGTCTCAGACGCTACAGCTCTCAGCAGGTCAAAGGTCATGAGGCTAAAGGTTTCAGTTAGCATGTCAGAGGTAGTCTTTATTTTTTGCCTCCTAGAAATGAAGAACAAAGTGTAAACTTTTACTGAAACTCAGCTTCAAAGAGGATCCTCTCGATCTTCATCCTGACCTCCGTCTTTTTGCAAGGCGTCAACTTTTTAAAGACTTTCACCAGGTTCATGAAGTAGAACTCATCACAGTCCTGAGGTCGATCGACATTGGTCTGAACCATCCGGTCACATTTGGACCGAACCAACTGTGGGAGCTGCGTCTTGCCACCTGACATCTTGGGCTTTTTGGACATGGAGACAAAGTGAGACGCAGACGTGATCCTGCTTCTTTCTTGGCTGGTTTTGTCCTCAGGAAAAGGGATGGTGTACACGTCAACATTCTTGCCATCATCCCTGCTCTCCTGTTGACAGTTTGGTAAAAATCGCATTGAAATAATGTGATTTTAAAAGTTTTAAAAAACTATGAGTGAATGCTGACACACTAGAAAACGTGCTCTTGTGATATTTGGATAAACATAAACTTAGAAAATACTTTTATAACATATTTATCACTTTTATAACATATTTATCATTGAGCGTTACCTGTTTCCATATAAAGCCTTTCTAACAGGAAACCTGCAAGTTGATCAACAGATGCAACAGAAATTAAGACGTTCACGTCAACAACAGGTCCATCCTTACAGAGTAAGATGATGGTTCAATGATTTCTCCAACTGCCGCTCCATTGGCGTCATCTTCCTGAGACTCCATCGTGCTTCTCGTCCCTTTGCAGAAGGAAACGTGTCTGTCCAGGTCCTGTTTGTTCACCATGGGGGCAATGCAGTACAAGCAGTGGTAATGTGGTCGTGCACAGCACTCCAGGCAACATTTATGGATGGTGTATTCTGAAACGGATACAAACAATGACTAAATAGGTGACAAACTTATTAAATATTTTGTCCAATAATACAGAAAGACTGGTTACCTCCAATAAAACAAGCTCTCCTGATATGAATTTGCAAATGCTGCATAACTCTGGAGTGCTTGGTAGGCTTGTAAAAAAGGGGTGAACAAAACGGACAGTGGTACTGTCCCTGGGAGCAGCACGTGGTGCATTTCTCCAGATGAGGGAAGGTCAGGCCTCTCTGGATGGACACATGACTCTGAAATAAAGACAGTACGGTTAATACTCTTAAGAAAAAGAGAAAAAGCAGCGTAAAATGTAGTACTAGGGTAACTTGTAGCTAATGCAGAGTATTTATAAATATTTATTCAATCAACCTTTATTTAGACAGGTTAATCCCATTGAGCCTCGAAGACTCATTTACAAGAGAGAACTGATTTCAACAAAGAATGAGGACAACAGTGGACAACAGCAACAACAATAGACAATCAAAAAAAAGTTAAATCTGGTCCTCTGGACGTTCAAAAAAACAAAAGAGAGAGAGAGAGAGAGAGTTTCTTTATTGTCATTTGCACCTCATGTGGTACATGTGGTGGAGCGAAATTATGTACACAAGGTCCCAGTTACATCCAACAATAAAATGTCTAAGAAAAACAGTAATAACATCTAAGATATGAACTAAGAAAAACATCAACTAAATATAAACTAAGCACTCATAACATAAAACATTGAACATCAGCACAAACATGAACATGAGTCTGTGAGCAGATGTGCACGCATGAACACATCAACATTGAAACAGATCAGCAGCAACATGAAACAGATCAGCAGCAACATGATATGGTTTTTCACAGTGATTATTCTAGTTAGAGATTCATGAGTCTAACAGCCTCAGGGTAGAAGCTGTTCCTCAGTCTAGTGGGTCTACACTTAATGCTCCTTAACCTCCTTCCTGAGGGGAGTGGGGCAAAAAGTGTGTGTGCTGGGTGAGTGGGGTCCTTCATGATGCAGGTGGCCCTCTTCCTGCATCTGGAGGTGTAGATGTCTGTGATGGTGGGGAGGCTGATTCCAACAACAAAAAAATACAGAAAAGGTTTGTCTTTCATCCGAAAGACTTCTTCAGTCTGAGGTGCTGTATTCAGCTCAGTCTCTTAAATAGCACCTTCTCAGAGTGGATCAACCAGTTTGCTGCTGACAACCAAAACCAGCTGCTCACATGCTCAAGAAGGACCATCAGCCTAACAATGGATCATTAGCACACTGATGGCTTTTTAATATTCACAGGGGGTTGATTGATACTAGCAATCACAGCATTGTAAGAGGGGGACAGTTGAACCCGGAGGCCTCCACCCCTGTTTAACGATGGACGATTTCTTTTCACAAAGATGGCCTCCTTTACTCCTCTCTCAAACCATCGTTCCTCTCTGTCCAGGATGTGAACATCTTCATCCCTGAAAGAGTGACCGCTGGCCTGGAGATGAGTGTAGACCGCAGAGTCCTGGCCTGATGTTGTTGATCTTCTGTGCTGGGCCATCCTTTTGGCCAGTGGCTGTTTAGTTTCCCCGATGTAAGACTGATCACAGCCCTCCTGACACTGAACAGCATACACAACATTGCTCTGTTTGTGCCGGGGGACTGGATCT